ATGTGTATATGTATTCATTTCACAGCTTATTACACATGCACAACAAGTGGGTTTCAGCACATAATATCATCCACAGCGACTGGGACGCATGTGGAGGATTCTTGGCCATTGATATCCGTTGTTGTTCCATGGGTTGGCATCGACACTGCTGAACATACAGTATTGTATCTTATCGTTTCAACGTGGAACACATGTCAAAGCATAGGTCTGTGTTAGCGATCCAGAATTATACAAAATGAACCTATATACTTGCAACCAGAATCAAGGATAAACAAATATCGATATCGACACCTTCTCGCCATAAAAGGATCACCATACCATCACCATCACTGTCATCATCATCATCATCATCATCACCATCATCATCATCATAATCCTGCCTATGATAATGATCACGATCATCATCATCATCATCATCATCATCATCATCATCATCATCATCATCATCATCATCATCACGATACTGATCATGATCATCATGATCATCACTGCCAACACCATCATCATCATGATCATGATTGGTATTATCATCATGGTGATCATCAGCACCACCATCATCACCATCATCACCATCATCATCACCATCATCATCATCATCATCATTGTGATCATCATCATTTTCATTGTCATCATAATCATCATCAGAATCATGATCATCATTATGATCATGATCATGATCATGATCATGGTCATGATCATCATCGTCGTCGTCGTCGCCGTCGTCGTCATCGTCATCGTCAATGTCATCGTCATTGTCATCATCATCATCATCATCATAATCATCATCGACATCGTCATCTTCATCGTCATCATCATCATCATCATCATCACCCGCATCATCATCATTATCATCAACATCGTCATCCGCATCGTCATCACCATCATCATCATCATCATCATCATCCGCATCCGTCAGACCATCATCTTGAGAGTCTTCAGGCTTCACTGCTGGCAAGACAACAAAGTGGCCCACATAGTCCGTAATTTAAGTTCATATAGGAATACAACCCCAACAATGTAGATCCTCGAAAGCCCAAACACCTGGAAGCTTGGAAGCACACCTTCTTCCCCAATAGGTTTCACAGAGCCATGGCTGTCAGGTTGCGGCGCTTCGCAAAAGATTTGTTAAAGGCGAGCTTCAGACAGGGGGAACAGTGACAGTTTTTCAAGTCTTAAGCATGTCACAAGTCAAGGGTTGTTAGATAACCGTATGGATCAAGATTGCATATTGACCCGCAGCAAAGTATTCAATAATGTATTAAAACATATCCACATTGTGGGTCAACAATCAGATGAGAGTGGACGCATCAGCCTGATCCGAATATGAGATGATCTCCACCATGAGCTGATGTTTCAAGCCAATGCATCAAAATCCCGGGTCGAGACGATTTGGCCACCAGTGGGTAGGAAACCATGGGAAGTCGACCAGTTTCTGTCCATGGTTTCAGGTGTTTCTCAGCCAAACGCGCTTGTTGGTTGATAGGGGCTTCAATAGAACTGTCATCATCCCCCACAGACCAACTCAAGGGACCCCAAATACAGGGTTTCACCATGTTTCATGCAATTTTTTGACGAATTAAGTGGAAGACATGGTCCCTCAAGCTATGGGTTATAGACGCCATTGATACACATATATTATATATATAATATACGTATGTGTTGGTCACTTTTTGGTGGTCTATATCCCTGCTTTTGTTGGTCAAAGCACAGTTGTTTCATTTGAATATGATTTTCCAATCAGGTTATCTGAATCGGGAACGGAACTACGATCGATTTCCTGCTGTCACCACCTGAGGCAGTCATTCCTTCTGTGAGACAGTGGATGGTTTATGTCAAGCAGCACAACTGCAGGCTTGATCCGGTGCTAACAAGGACTCGTAATTGGGCATAGCATTCGAGTCACTCTTGGAGGTCCCAGAGATGGTTTTAAGAACTGGTGGTTTTCTGGAGTTTGAGTATTTATATGGTCGGAAAATATGAAAAAAAAACAATCTATACTGTACGTGATTAGGGGTAAATGGGATCATGAATCCCGGGGAGGGGACTTGCGATCACCTCACTGATTACAGCAATAGTCCTATATAAGAGGATGGCATGAGGATGGCAAATGTTGGGTGCTAGGCTTGGAAAATTTGGAGAACGAGATGCAAAACTGGGCGCCTCACAAGTCGAGTGATGCCGGGACTCACCAGCACGACTCGGATCATTGCAAGTTGGAGTGAAGGGAATCAATTTTCCAATATGTTCCATGGACTCCATGGTTCAAAGATGATAAATGGATATAAATGGTTAAAATTTGTTAAACAATGGTAAATACCACCATGTTTCATCATTTTTCCATATTTTCTGCCTAATTAGCTGCCACGGTGGCCAGGCGATCTTCACTGCATGGGTGGATGTTTTATTGATCTCCCAGACAGCGGCGATGCGCCGGAAAACCCAGGGAGTCCAAGTCCCGGGGAAATCAACGGCCCAGGGGCCATAGAAAACACATGATACAATACTGTATATTACTGTATGACACATAGAAAAAACATGGGATGAATTGAAAATATATAATTGAAATCACCTTTTTTTTTAAATATCCAGTTCAGTTTGTGGTGGTTTGGGGCATGAGTCCAGTCTTTGATAGTTGAATTGATCATCAATTGACATCTTTGGGTTTTACATCTTCGCAAATTCAAACTACTCGTGGCCATTTGCAGCACGTGAGCGGTGGATCGGATTTTTTGTGACCAGATGACGAGTGAGTGTACTGGTATTACTGCACTCTTCATTGAACACTCCCGTGAGTTCAGAGATCCTGATTTTGGTTGTTGTAGGTTTGAGCACTTGTGCTTTGCGTATGCAATTCCGATCCAGTTTAGTTTTGTCTTATAGACTTATAGTTGTTTCCCTATATTTGCCTCCGGGCCTGTAGCCAGGCTAGACTCCATCCCGTTCTGGCTTGAGAGTCCTCCATGTCAGAGATGATATGAATATGTCATACAGTCATACCCTCTGGTCATTTAACAGAATAGTTATTTTGTGAAACTTGCCCATGTATAGATTGTCTACCTGTAATAAAGATGGCGATGTTCCAATTTGGTCCAAAGCTTTGTAAACTTACCGGGTCTATTTATATACATTCAACTGAAATGCATTCGTCGCAGCTGACTGTCTTCATACGCAAAGTCATGTCCAAAAGGTGAATTCACACAAAGACCAAGACCACGTGCCCACCTTGACACATTCACCATCCCCATGATATCGTTACTGTCGGTGGTGTTTATACCCCACATGCCAGAAAATTTGTTGGTCATACCTGAATCTCCCCTGAATCTATCAATGAAATATCTCCATGATATCCCATTACAGGCCATTATATCCTGGGGATTCATCAATGATATCCCATTAAAATTGTAAGAAATTCCCATTATATATTTCATTAAATCATTAAATCACCATTTTTCTTGGAAGATTCATCCTCCAGCGCCTCGCGACTCGCTGCGGTCCCAGGCTTGGGGATCCGTGCGCCCAAAGAGGCCATGCTGGGCTTCTATGGAGCCCACCTCTCCAAGCCGGGACTCCTGGGGGCCCCTGGGGGACCCCGGCCATGGGATCAGCCACTGGACATGGGATTGAATGATCTATATACTGTAATGTTTCATGGGAATATCAAGGGATATATGACACTTATATAACCAAGAAGGGATATGAATTTGATATAGTCGGAATATTGATGGGATATACATTGCATATAAGGAAACAACTTGCTGCTATTTTGAAAATGGGGACCGTCCAAATGGCCAAATTAATATGTAAACCAGTAATGATTAACCATCGGATGGAGTGGGGTACCATATTTTCCAGACAAACCTAAATGTGTTTGTTTGTGATGGAGTTGATATGAAATTTGATGTTGTGGTCGTGGTTATGTTTCTCAGTGGTGTTAATATCCTGTTGATATGGCAAACTAGTTTAATATACATACATACCTACCTACCTACCTACCTACCTACATACATACATACATACATACATACACACATACACACATACACACATAAACACACACACATGTATGTATACATGTGTGCGTGTTTTTTTTTGCTGTGTGTTGTTTCACTGGTATTTACATGGTGTGGACGTGTGCCAATGTATGGTCATTGAGGACCAACAGACATGTGAGGTGATTTTTCATTATCCTATACTCCTGTTATATATATATATTATTATTTATACATACATATGACATACGGCTTATAATGAATTCCATTTTTAACCTGTGGTAATGGTAATCATAATCCATTCACACAGATCATTATCCTCCATTCAATCCCCACCAAATCCCTTCATGTATCTTGCTTAAGTCACCATGTTTATCTAGACCCACCATTTTCATCAGATTGTGCATCAAACCTATTTCAGAAATCCAGGAGACCGTGGATATTTAGACATACGCGTCAGTGTTTTTCAGAAATTATCTAATTTCAGTGGTTACCTTAGCTGGCTGGACAGAAAATCTCTATTCATCGCCGTTAATCACCATATGAATCTCCAAATCTTCATTAGTTCGCATAAATCACCATGAACCCCCCACAATGAATCCTGGGTTCACCACCATTACATGATTCCCGATGCTCACCATGAATCCCGGGTGAAGAGCATTTACAGTTCATTACTCAACATTAATGATGGGTTAACCATCCATATTAAGTATTGACCATTAATCACAATAGAAAACAATTAGTTCCCATAAATCACCATTGTATAATTCCCACTATTCACCATTAATTATGGGTACTACTCACCATTATATAACCATAGGTATATCAACCTTCATGGTGAATTGACAACCATTATCGCTATATCATTGAGTTATACCCACCATACATCATTTATTAATCACCATTACCCACTATATCATTCAATCCAAAGATATACCATTCAATTGATATTTAATAAAGCCATTGATATACCACCATATATATTTCTCATCCAAGATTCAATGGCTGTCAATGGCTTTACAGCCACAGCCTCAGGCGTTCTGCAGTCCCAGAAGCTCAGCTCAAGAGCCAGCTGGCCGAGGCGTAGCGGCAGAGATGGAGGGCAAAGGTGGAAACAAAAACGTCCAAAACAGGGGGAGATCCATGAAACATGTGGGGTTAACCAAAAAAATGGGAGTTAGTTAGTGGAGTTAACCATCAAAAATGAGGAGTTAACAATGATAAAATGAGGAGCTAATGATCAAACATGGAGATTTGACCATGAACCATGTTTTTGTTGAAGGTCAAAACAGGGGGTAGATCCATCAAACATGAGGAACTGACATACAGTAACCAGCAAAAAATTACAGTGATGTGACAAAGCTGGCTATTGAACAACCAAAATTTTAAGAAGTTGATCAAACATGGACTTGGAACTCCGTTAAGAACGTGATATTCAATGCATCATTCACATGGTGTGTGAAATACATACATAGATGTACAAAAATATGCATCATAAATGTGTGAAATCATCATGTTGGAAGCTGGGCCCTGCCTGGATCCACTGGGGATTGCATGGTTGACAACAAAGACATCACCAAGAAGAGGCCGGTACATCAAAGTTGATTGAGTCCCAGAATTGGATGGGAAGATCGAAACTGAAAACCCCCAATTTGAGGGGTAAACCATGTTAAAATCATGTAAAAAGAACACGTGAAGAATTCTGTTTAAATCACGTCAATAGATTAAACTTAAAGCCATCCATTAATGTTCCTGCAGATTTTCCTTAAAACTTAACCAATCGAGTGATTTTTTGAGGGTAGGGACCCGAGCCATTGGTTGCAAGGGCACCATGGAAGTTATGGGTTTTTTTTGCAGCCATAGTAAGGTGATGATGGGATGATCATAGGCTAGTGATGGGAGTATAATGGAATTCAACATTAACACAATGATTCCATTGCTATCCCATCACGATCCTATTATTATCCAATTGTTGTCCGATTATGATCAGATTAAATATCCCATGTAATGTGACTAAGGAACAGCTTGTTTTTGATACACCAAAAAGCGGCTCTTGATTCGCCGGAAATGGGTCGAATGATGGGACTTTTCAGAACTGCAGTTGGAAGGCTGGGGAGATAGAATGAGTCATGCATAGTCCAAGTAGTGAGAATATCTCTGACATGGATGCACCATGCCAGTGATTGACCATGATCTACGACAATGACAACATACAGTCGTCGGGTTTTGGCAGGTACCCAGAAAAATAGGCAGTCGATGAAGGTTCCAGGCATCGATCAGCCTGCACCTTCTGTCGCTTCTTGGCTCAAGAACGTAGGGTGTGCAAATTCCAGCTTCAAGCATTATTCACCAACCTGCTGATCTCCGCGTATCAGATGGCCGCTGATGGTGCGTCCGCTGACGTGGCCGCTGATGCAGCGGACGTTGCAAGATTGGTCTTTACCACGTGTCTTGGCGGAATCTGGGGACAGATGTGGCACAAGATTCAGGAGATGGGCGGGTAAAGCATGGATAGGTTGGTGTTTTTGTGTGAAATTATTTGATTGTTGGCAGTGCATTAGTGCATAGAAGAATGTCCCCCATTATCCCCTTAGAAATTATCACCCATTGTCGTTGTTGTCGTTGTCGTTGCCCTTGTCGCTGTTGTTGCGGTTGTCGCTGTTGTTGCTGTTGTTGTTTTTTTTGTTTTTTTGTTGCCCCTGTCGCTGTTGTTGCGGTTGTCGCTGTTGTTGCTGTTGTTGCTGTTGTTGTTGTTGTTGTTGTTGTTGTTGTTGTTGTTTTTGTTGTTGTTGTTGTTTTCCATGGTATTTAGTTTAACATGTATATAATATATATATATATACATATTGGCTTAATCCCTGTGGGTTTTTTTTAATGGCATTACCAGGCGAATATTTTTGGATCCAACGCCAATCGCCGTGGGGATGGATTCCCACTGTGGGATGGACGTCCACAAGGTACTATAGAATGTGACATCCATATAATATAGATATAATATATATATATAGATATAGATATACACGTAGATAGATAGATAGATAGATAGATAAATAGATAGATAGATAGATAGGTAGATAGGTAGATAGATAAATAGATAAATAGATAGATAGATAGATAGAACGAAATATAGATATAGATATAGTTATAGATATAAATATATATATATATATGTTTTGACCCATCCTCGTAGCCACTTGGTCACTGGGATGAAATTCCCATGCCCTGGCCTCATTCACCGAAACTTGGCGGGTTTCCCCCGAGGCTTCCCTGGGATGGCGGAGAAGCTTTCGCGACCCCCAGGTGCAGTGTGATGGGGGGAACTGTAGGGATTAAATGATTAAACTCGTGGGAACTACGGTAGGATAGAACAGTTAGATATCATGGGGATATCATGGAACATGAGTGATGAATGGAATGTTCATGGAAAATTGATGGGTTACCCTCTGGTAAACTACCATATTTGCCACATTTTCCATGACACGTGAATAATAAGCAAATCAAATATATTTAATTTTAACTTTCCATAAGCTAACCATATAGCTGTGGAACATATTGCCATATTTCACATGTAAACCAACGAACTAAATCAACTATGTTCAATAGCTATGTTGAATTACCGGAAAGTAACTGCCCAAAAACATCGAACAACTAATTTACCATTATCTTAGTAGGATATTGTTTGGTGACTGTAAGTCTATAAGTGAATCTTAGTAGAACCGCAATCTTAGTAATTAGGATTATTTGGATTGTGTTTGTCTGTGTTGTTTTGTTGGATTTTGGATTGTTGGAGCCAACATGGTCATTTAACCATCACACATAGAGGTTAAAAAATGTATGTCAGCATATCATATGGTATATTGACTTGCACAAGCTTTCAGATTAATCAGTCGAACTATGTGAAGACTATTAATCGGCAAGAATGGGGTGCGGGTAGTATGTGATGGCTGTCACGCCCTGCTTCACCTCAGACACTGTGAAGATGTTGGTCAGTCATTTCATCTATGGCAACCCCTCAATGGATAGAAACGTCGAACGCTGGAAATATCAGGTAAATATGAATTTCAATCTATAATATCCATTAATATCCCATAACACATGTTTCTATATTTGTTGTTGGTTTGCTATCTGAAAACACAGAGAAACATTCATCCTATATTGCCAAATATCAAATGTGTCCAAGTTGGTCACCTGAACATACCACCTGGGACACCAATTGGCTGTGAGTTGCAAGTTGTTTGATGGAATTACTTTTACTAAATGCCCATAAATCCCCATTTCTTGTTGGTTACAGGATCAGATTCCAGAGTATTAATGAAATCTCCATTCATGGAGCCCTCAAGTCACTCAAATCCCATTTTCTCATCACTATGTGGACTTATGAGGATTTATGGGGATAATTTATGGGGATAGTTTAATTACATATTCACTATTCCCAAAATCCCCATAAACCATATTTATGTGGATTCACCATTCAGAAGTGGATTCACCATTGCCACCAGATAAACCATAATAGTGAATCCCCATAAATCTTACATATTAAGCTGATGATTTATGTGGATTCACCATTCTCAGCATCAAATCCCCGCCTCAAATCTCATCCAGCGAACGCCGTGGCCGTTGATGGAGGCCATACTTCGAGCGCTTGTCTCGTGACGCTGCACGGCTCGACATTGCTTGGCCCAAGGAGCTCTGGGACATCCATGGCTGCTGGCGGCTGATAACGTGAAGCGACCCATGAACAATAAGATGTTAGATGATAAAATGATGCTATTTTACCATCTAACAGTTAAGAATAGTGGTTAATGATGGTTAATAATGATTATTAATGGTGAATAATGGTGATTAGTGGTAATGTGGGTAAAACAATTATATTTTGATGGTTTATACCACAAAAAATGTGATGATTGGGGTATGATAATTTTATTGATCATCCCCCGTTGTACCGGTAATTTTTTTTTCCTGTGACTCCACTTCGGCGAATAAAAATGCCAAGTCAGGTAAAAATCATCAAAAACAGAGAGAGAGAGAGAGAAACAGTTCTGGACCTCCAAAGCCTAGTGTCATCCATCTCCCCGTCTTGAAAGATCTTGACAGCATGCGAGCAAAAAAATGATGGAGCCGGTGGAAACCCTGTGACCCAGGATTTGAATTATATGACAAGAAAAGTGTTTATGCCAAACCCTCAGCAGTTTTTGAAAGGTCGTGATCTTCCAATTCAATCGACTTGACGATCTGAATGGGGTAGGTAAACATGTATCATCATAAAGGTTATGACCCAGGAAAAGAGTTGTGTCAGCGCAATGGTGGGCCAGGAGACATGTTAGTCCACATAAAGGTTGTGGAACAGGATTTTAATTTGTTTGCCCGGGAAATTGCAACTTGGTTGTTGGCTTAAATCTGTTGGGTTGTACCCTTTGGAAATCAATTCCAAAAGGTTGTGGACCAAACGATTTAAGGCATTTTTTTCCAGGACTAGACCCTTTTGAGCGGTACCACGGGGGATATTGATCTACTTACATTATAACGTTTGGTAATTCAACAGTTTGCGAACTGGAAGCCATGACACACTTCATCCAATTCAAAGCTGCTGGTTTCTAGTACTGATATAATTTTATATAATGACTTTAACGTTGATTTTCCCATAGCAAACTGTTATTTACCAAAGGGTACTGTACCTGCAGAAGAGTATAAACAGATATATGCATTTGTTGCAGCAGTCACAGGCAAATTGAAATAATTTGACTCTGTGTGTGTGCAAGTTTTCAAACCACAACTTCTCTGTCCAGTATCACTCCCAGATTTTGCTAAATCCTCTGGGCTGTTCTCAAACTTGGGCGGCGTGTACCGTCTTAGTAGCAGACTGTCATGATTTGGCGGCTAGCCCCTAATCAACCAGTATCAATCTGCGGTTTGACAACCGTGATGACAACAACCACTACCCTCTGGGAATCAAACTGGGCCAGATTGAAGTGCCGGGCACATCCCCACCTTGCTGGATAAATCGGGGTGATCTATTGACACCATGATTTCTACAGAAAAAATAACAGCATGTTCTATAAATTAAGATTGAAACATAACAACATCATGCAAATTTGCTCTATCATAAATCCCAATTATCTTTTAAATGAACTAAACCCTGTTTTTTTTCTGGCGAAAATCCGCCAGAAAACAGCTGATGATCTCTAACAGTGAAGGACCTGCCGGTGCAGCTGCGGAAGTCTCTGAAGGATAGTTTGAAGAAGAAGCCGAGTTCCTGGCCATGGCAGCACCAAGGATATCCAAGGATTGGGGATGTAGCCACCAAAATTCACAGGAATATGGTGTTTAAATATGGTGTTTAAGCACGAAAATTTTGGTGGAAAAATCATGCTTAAATTGCCATCCATTTAATGACGATGAAGCTGGAGATTCAGCCAGTATTTTGGGAAAATCACTACATGGGGTTATAACCTTTACGTAGCAAATAAGAAGTATTGTTTACCATCGAAAAAGGAGATTTAACTCCCCGAAAATGTTGATAGTTCTCTGTCAGCGGAAGTGCATTTATGTGTTTGGAATTGCTTGTCACCAGGCCACCCACGTACATCCCAGAATGGTCATTTAATATCCGCATGTTCTGTGGTTCGATGTTGGTTTCCTGTGAGGCACAATATTGATTTTGTTTTGTTTTTTGAACGGATTCTATCTGGTTTTCCTTACTTTACTAATCTCACTGCTGGTAGTGTGCCAGTCTTGGGTCCCCACCCTTCAGGTCGCTCACACAATCAAGTGTTTTGAAGCTTCTTAAACTCACTCAAAAGCAAATGCTGCGATGCAAAAGCTAGCCACCAAAAATTTTGTTATGATGAACAAGCATAGATATCCTTTAAAAGCTTCAAACTGCGAAACCCATTGGTTTCTTTGAGTTCATATCCTATGCGATTCCACCCCCACTCCCGATCCCAACCAATGCCCATTATACCAGCATTTTGTGTGTTAAATCGCAATTGAAATCAAGCCCCCTTGAAATCATTGCGTACTTATACTCCAGTGCTCTCAAATTCTCACCATAAAATGGTTGATGTTTATACTCCAAGTATCCCGAATTCTTCCAGATCACCATTGGATATGCTTGGATCTTATAAACTATCCCCCAAACATTGATGGTTGTTTTTGTGTCTAATTATTCCAATTCCAGATGATCCCCGATTCTCCCAACTGCAGGTTGCGTTTCAAACACTTGGCCATCACCGCCTGGGCTGCTCCGCGTGGAGCTGACGTGTCAAGGTGTGCCGCCAAGGGAGCGGAGCGGAGCCTCTGTAGATAGAATTGATGGTTACAAGTGGGAGATCATGGGAATAATAGGATAAGAATGGGATAAGAATTGGATAATAATGGGAGAATATTTGTTATAATAAAGGGAGAATAATATGATAAGAATGGGAGAATAATGGGATAATAATGGAAAAATAATGGGCTAAGAATAGGATACGGATGAGTTAAGAATAAATAGGATAAGAATAGGATGATAATAGGATTAGAATAGGATGATAATGGGATAAGAATGGGAGAATAATGGGAGAATAATTGGGTAATAATGGGATAATAATGGGATAAAAATATGATAAGAATGGGATAAAAATATGATAAGAATTGGAGAATAATGGGATAAGAATGTGAGAATAATGGGATAAGAATGGGAAAATAATTGGATAAGAATAGGATAATAATTGTGTAAGAATAGCATATGAATGGGATAAGAATGAGTCGCAGTGAGTAGTAGATGTGATATGATGTACTGTAATCTAGCGTTCTATGTAAAGTAATTATCCTGAAGTAGATAGAATGTGTGATGTTTGGAAAACATTCAGTATCGAGCGATGTTCTTTCGACATTTCCATATTGGATCTACTTCAGGATGACTATTCATAATATGCAGTACCTACCTACCTACCTACCTACCTACCTAGAGTACCTACCTACCTACAGTACCTACAGTACCTACAGTACCTACAGTACCTACAGTACCTACAGTACCTACAGTATCTACCTACCTACCTACCTATCGATTAATCTATCAATCTATCAATCTATGTAATTATCTGTCGATCTATCCACCGATCCATCTACTATTGATCTATCTTTTTGTCTATCTACCTACCTCCCCGTATCTATCTATCTATCTACCTAACTATCTAACTATCAAACTATCTAACTATCTAGCTAAATATCTATCTATCTATCTATCTATTTATCTATCTATTTATCTATCTATTTGTCTATCTATTTATCTATTGATCTATTTATTTATGTATTTATCTATTTATCTACCTACCTACCTTACCTAACCTTACCTACCTTACCTACCTAACCTACCTAAGCATACCTAACCTACCTAAGCTACCTAAGCTACCTAAGCTACCTAAGCTACCTAAGCTACCTAACCTACCTAACCTACCTAACCTACCTAACGCTGTCAAGCGGTACCTTGAATATCTCAATGCCATTGTGCTGTGTTGTTCAGTACTGGAACGTTCCTGGTGTGCCACTGGGAAAAGCGGTTTGTGAGTATATTTTTCCTAGGGTAGGAATGAGAGTCCGCCAATGAGAATGACATGTAGAACTCCTGGTCTTCTAGAGGTCAAGTTGATGGTGTGCGATGCGGCTTACAACGCTTTGTGTCAGGTTTAAGACAGATAAAAAACGATACAAACGGTTGCAGTCTGCATAGGAATTTCATCGAAAATAATGTGCACATATATGGACAGGTGTTGGTTTGCTGCTGTGGTGATTTGGCTATGGCACAAGTTCTTTAGGTTGTGGGGTAAGCTGTGTGCCATGCGGTGGGGTAAGATTACAGGTTGTGGCGTAAGTTACCACCCGTACTCGTACCTATCCATCTCTTTAGTTTCTAGTATTTTTTTTGTTGATTATGTTCTTTTAGTGTATATATAATATTCATGTTTTATACACATATATATATATACTTTTCTATCTTTCTATTTATCATATCATTTTTTGATCTATCTATGTGCATATAGCAATAGCACAACGTTTATCTGACACGTGTTGTTGATACTAAATGAAGCACACGTCAGCTCAGCTACGGTAACTTTGACTTGTAGTCTTATAGTGGGATTGTTCGCTCACCACAATTGGATGTGCATCCAGCAAGTTGCAGCGTGATCCTATATTACCAGTCTATTACCAGTTTGTTGGTTCATATCCCCATTGGTTGGTTGCTATGTGGGATTTACAATAAACCTGCCAAACACCAAGGGATAAAAAAGAACCAGTCCCTCAATCATCTCAAGTACCTGTCTGCAAAATGAAAACACAAATAAAATACGACACATTTTTTTGATGGTGTGAATTATTGTGGATTTTCTGTTGTCCCTATGTCATAATGTGTGATGATTAAATCAGTCGTGTTTTTCTTAGTAAATCCGCACTGTTGCCGATTCAATCCCGTAAGATATGTGATGGGAAATTTCTTCTCGGACGCGCTCCCCCTGCTGCGAGCGGGGTCGGCAGATATATCTAAACTATTGATTCAACTCCAACTGAAGACCCAATTTTTCGGCAGGTGAAGTTCTATTATCTTGCAAGTTTATACATGTTTATATTCAGATTATCTCAGATTGTTGGTTCGATCATAGCTACAACAAAAACACATTTTTGATGGTGAAATCCCTATTTGTGATGGTTAAAATCGCCATTTTTGTCGGTTCAATTCGAACTTCGCACCTTCCAAACCCAGGTGAGGTGCGCACAGAACTTCGCGCCTTGCCAGCCGCCAATTCCGGGCCTTGGAAGGTGCAGCTTGCGCCAAAGGGGAACGTCTGGAGAAAGCCGTGAGACAAGCGGCAAGCAATGGAGATTTAACCATGAACATTTGGGAATTGGGATATATAACTCATATTATATATATATATTTAAATATATGTATATGTATATACCTATAACCATCCAAAAATGATGATTTAACCATGAAGATATAGGATTCAACTATCAACAATTTTGATTTTTTAATGAAACATCGGTATGCAATTGACGCAACATTTCAAAATCTGAGATTAAATGCGAATTAACATTCAGAAATGCAATTCATGATTTGATTATTTGAAAAACATGTTGTTTGACAGAATTTAACCATCAAACATTGTGATTTAACCACCAACAGTGTTGGTTCAATCATCAATAATGGAGATTCAACGGACTGAACCAGTAAAAATGGTGGTTCCATGTGATTTACTGTAATATGATTTCACCATCAACAATGTTGATTTAGCCAACTGATTTCACCATTAAACAATGATAATGATACCCTAATTATACCCTATTATACCATTAAATATACCATTTTAATCCAATTTAATCATTAGAACATGCGATTTGACTATCAGGAATTGGGGATTCATGATTATCCCTGTTACAATCGACCGATGGGTAGGATTGTTTATATATGTTTCATCGGGGGATTTAAGCAACAATAAGTGGAGACATTAGTCATTAGTCAACTAACAATGAGGAAATTCTGGGACCACCAGACATAAAGGGTTTGATTTCAACAATAAACGGTTGACTTTATCAACAGCGGTTTGTGGTTTAAGCAACAGAAAAGGGGGTGTAGATTGACAAGATGTGACAAGCACAAAGGGGGACTTCACACAGTAGACGTGGAGACGTCATAATCAAAAGGTCAAAAATTGCTATCAACCAAGCCCTGACAGTTTCAGATATGTCTTAAGATGCACCCGAATAAATACATGTGATCATTTTATAGATCTGGCAATGGATGCAGCACTTCAACATCCAAGCAGCAAGATTACTGGCTATTGAATTGGGATGATTATTTGGGAGCTATGCTCACCATTAAGCGGGCAGGAAACTTGGCATGACATGTTGTCCATATTGTATCATATTATGTTGTATATATTATATTATATTATACTATATTTTGTTATAGTGTATTATATTATTTCATAGCATACTATATTCTATATTCTATTACATAAATTATTTTATATTATATATACAGATCATTGTTTGGCTGCAACAACAGAACGGTGATGAACACATTTTTTTTGTGTCACTAATCGGTAGACGAAAAGAGTGTTTTCATGGTGTCAACGTACCCTTCGGTGCCCATCTGTACCTACAGTATCTACATATCGATCACCGCATATGTATTGCACCCTCCTGTAATCAACCATGGCAAGGAAATCCCCCATTTATAGATGATTTTCCCATTAAAGCCACCATTTCTCGAGAATTTTCCATTGCCCCGTTTGATTCCCAGAGGGTAATTGTTAGTTGTGCTGTGCCTCCGTAACCTTGTATAAATGTTTGGTAGTTATGACCCTGGCGGCCATGACAAATGACATCGACAGGCCATTTCGCATCCGGCTCCATGGTTTGGGAGCAGGCCAGAGGATGGGGTCGGTGCGACCCCTGGCCAGAAATTGGGGTATACATCGAACCAACTACAGTGGATGGAAGAAATCCTGCACCAGTTGATAGGTAGTTTATCCCTTTATCTATAGGGTTTCAACCATCCAAGGTGCAGGATTTCTTCCATCTACAGTATGATAGGGGTATAATGGGATATCACGGGGATATGTCATGGGACACCGCATCTGAAAATAGGGGCTAGCTGCTCTGGGGAGTTTTGGGTGCCCTGTTTTCAGACAAGGCAAAAAATACAATGAGTATAATAGTATAACAGCAGGATTGAAATGACTAAGATTTATGTAATCCCTTCCTCCTAATACTAAACGTCCCCCTAATACTAAAAACAGGCATCCATCTCCAATTTCCGAAAATTTCAGTTTGGCCAATTTGACTTTTAATTGATCCCCTTTAAAAAACAATTTAAAAATCAACCTACCATTTGTGGGTTCTCCCCCCTAATACTAAAAACTAGTTCACCCCGGGGTGTTTAGTATTAGGGGGGCCTAGTCCCAATCCCTCACTCCAAGCTGCCTAGCTACTCTAGCAATTAGGGGTAAGCTTCTAACTGCCATTTTTGGCAATATTTTAATTGCGTTATATAAGGAAATTTAATTGATTTTGAGATCGGAAAAAATAGTTTTTAGTATTAAGGGTTTTAATTTAGTATTAGGGGTAAGCTTCGAACTGCCATTTTTGGCAATATTTTAATTGCGTTATATAAAGAAATTTAATTGATTTTGAGATCGGAAAAAATAGTTTTTAGTATTAAGGGTTTTAATTTAGTATTAGGGGTAAGCTTCGAACTGCCATTTTTGGCAATATTTTAATTGCGTTATATAAGGAAATTTAATTGATTTTGAGATCGGAAAAAAT